GCTGGATGTACATGATAAAAGATGTGACCTGACCTGCTGGATGTACAGGATAAAAGATGTGGCCTGACCTGCTGGATGTACAGGATAAAAGATGTGGCCTGACCTGCTGGATGTACATGATAAAAGATGTGGCCTGACCTGCTGGATGTACATGATAAAAGATGTGGCCTGACCTGCTGGATGTACAGGATAAAAGATGTGGCCTGACCTGCTGGATGTACAGGATAAAAGATGTGGCCTGACCTGCTGGATGTACATGATAAGGGTTGTTTCCTATCTCTTCTCGGGCATCTTGCAGTGACTCATCATGGAAAGATGCTTCTTCGCTGCTTCCTTCAAGTCCGCTGCGCAAAGCAGCACGCATGTTCAAAGCAACAATGGTATCTTCCACACTGCTGCTGCTGTTATTTTTGTTTCCGGCACTATCTGGGGTTTGAGGAATGGGTTTGGCAATAGGATTAGTGTAAAAACGTGATACAAGAGAGTCATCCTCTCCATCCTGCTGATGGTTCTCATCAACAGGTTTGCTCAGGAAGCTGTATCTGAAAAAGGAGAAAAAAAATACCTTAGTCCTTGGCAACAATAATGACAACGACAGCAGTTAATCTCCATTAAGTATCTGACCTTACTCTGGATGATTCAATAAACAAAATTTATCCTTATAGTAATTGTGTGAAAGAGGATGCAACTTTTTTCTCTAATTTATTAAAAAAAAAAAGGACCAAAAACATAATCTTGCATAATATCACAAAGTTATGAGTACTATCTACAGCTCAAGTTTTAAAACAAAAAAAATCTTTGGCTGGAGATCCGGCTCAGTGATAAAGAGCATGTACTGCTTTTATAGAGGATGTGGGTTCAATTCCTAGCACCCACAAGGTGGCTCACAACTGTTTGTTGCTCTAGATTTCATGGTCTTAACAGCTCACTTTCAAAGGAATGAAATCAGCCCTCTCCCCTTTCTCACTCTGCGGGTATTTTCAAACTTAGGTCGCCAGGCTTGATGCGAAAAAGTCTTTATTGTATTCCCTTAGCCATCTCACCAGCCTTGACTTTGACTAAATCTTTGATTAAAACAAAAACAAAAAGGACTTGCTACTATGTGGAAATAAATTATTAGTGGTTAAAGTCAATATAAAACACTGAAAGGAATTTTAAGCTGGGTTGGAGATGGCTCAGCACTTATGAGCACTGACTGCTCTTCCAAAGACCCAGGATGTGGCCCTGGCCCTCAAGACTTGTAACCGCAGCCCCAGTGGACCTGACATCTTCTTGTGGCCCCTGCGGGTACTGCATGCACACTGTGCACACAGAGACCTGTGGGCAAAGCACTCACATACACAATTCAAAAATCTCAAAATTTGAATTTAAATCTGAATATACGTACAAGAAGTTTGGAAGTATTTTAATGAAATATCAAATGCAAAAAAAAAAAAAAAACCCAAACCCAAAACCTCAATTATTCTGAATAAAAGAATACCAAATAATCTCTGTATGTTCACTAACGGAGAAGAACTGAATTGTCTTACAGTCACCACAGTGACCAGGAGACCAGAGTGACCCAAGGCCAATCCCTCAGGTCCACTTAGGGAAAGGAAGGATGGCCTCTAACCCTGGAATTATTAGTGTCCACCACCATCGCTGGCTGTTTCTTTGACAGGGTTTCTCTACACAGCCCTGGCTGTCCTGGGGCTCCCTATGTAGACCAGGCTGCCTCACACTCACACAGATCCACCTGCCTCTGCCTTTCAACTGCTGGGATTACAGGCGTGCACCACTATGCCTTTTTTTTTTTTTTTTTTTTAAGATTTACTAATTTTATATTTTTGAGTGTCTATATGAATGTATATGTATGTGCAGAGATCAAAAAAGGCACCAGATCCTCAGGAATGGTAGTTACAGTTGTGATCCACCATGAAAGTGCTGAGAACCAAACTCAGGTCCTCTGCAGGAGCAAAAAATGTTCTTAATGACTGAGCCACCTTTCTGGGCCCCCATTTACTCAATCTTGAAATGATTCATTTTTATTGTATGTGTATGTGTGCACAGATGGTCAGAAAGGGGTGGTGGATGCCCTGGAGAGTCACCATGTGGATGTTAGGAAGGCAACCCAGTCCTCTGCAAGAGCAGTGAGTGACTGTAACGGCTGAGCCCCTGTGTCAGCCCATTTCATTTTTATGTGGGTCACGGGGCTCAATTAAGTCCTTGTATTTTTAAGACAAGAACTTTACTGACTAGAGCTATTTCTCCAGCAGCTCCTATGTAAACTGCCAAAGTGGAAAACCTAAGTCAAACTGTTAAAAAAAATAATTTTTATTTTTTTATTTCGAGACAGGGTTTCTCTATGTAGCACTGGCTGTCATGAGTCACTTTGTAGACCAGGGTGGCCTCAAACTCAAGAGATCCAACTGCCTCTGCCTTCTAAGTGCTGGGATTAAAGGGGTGCGCCACCACCGGTTGGCTTATAGATTTTTTTCAATTACATATACGTCTGTGTGAATGTATGCCATGTGTGTGGGCCAAGAGAAAAAGAACAAAAGAGGCTGTTGGATTCCAGTTGTGAGCACCCAACATGGATGCTAGAAACCAAACTCCAATTCTCTGGAAGAACAAGTATTGTTAACTGCAGAGCCATCTCTTTCGCCCTTAAATTAGACTGAAGACTGATGTGTGGTGTGTACTTTTACTTGTTTATATTGTGTATATTGATTTTACTTGATTAAAATGGGTATCATTTTAATAATCATCACCGACTAACTATAATTAATAGAAGTGCTTGCTAAAACTGTCCCAAAAACATACATAAGGATCACAGAGTAGTTCCGAAGAAATTATCAGAGCTCCAATAATTTTAAGATTTAAGGTACTCAAGAAGTAATAACATAACATCACATCTATATAACATTCATCAATTTTTATCAAGTTTAAAAAACAAACCAGAAATATTATCAGAAATACCCTCAAACAGAATTCAGCTTACCTCTCTCCATTTTCTGGATACTCAGATGGTGAAGCTAGATCTTCTGAATCATGATTAACAGGAGAAAAGAGATTGCTATTGTTTAGATTTTTCAAAACCAACTTCTTGATGCTCTTTCTAAAAAGAAGAGACCAAAAGAAATAGAAAAACATTGAGGTGTGTACAAGCGCACCAGACATTATTTTAAAAAGCGAAGGCCAAAACAGCACTCTTGTATACCTACACTCATCTAATAAGTTGCATATGTAAAATTTTTAGTGGTATAATCACAACATACAGCCTCAAAAAGATTGCACTTGTTTTGAACAATAAAGCTGAGAAGATGCATAGTAAAGTGAAAAAGATCCTGGATGGTTGGTGCATGGCATGCACTTTTAATCCCAGCACTTGGGAGGCAGAGGGAGAGGCAGGCAACCTCTGTGAGTTGGAGCCAAGCCTGGTCTACATATCGTAGCATAGCCAGGACTTCACAGAGAGACCCTATTAATTTACCCACACAGACGGAGAACATACTTTTCCCCTTTTCTTTAGGGGACCCTGAGTTTGATTCCTAGCTCCTATCACAAAAGGCTACTCACAACTATTCCTGGAATCATAGGGGCTCCATCTTCAGAACCCATGGTTTCTACTTGAAGTTCCTACCTTGTTAAGTTTCTGCTCTGACTTTCCTCAACGATGAAAGTGTAAGCAGGACGTGTAAGCCAAATAAATACTTTCCTTTCCTAAGCTGCTTCTGGTCAGTGTTTGACCAGAGCAACAGAATGGGAAGCAGAACAAGGAAGGCTCTGTTTAACTACTCAGCACCATGCTATGAAACATATATGAACACATTGTCCTTGCTTTCAAAAAACAAAACAAAAACAAAAAAACCCCACTCACAACAAGGAACATAAAACCATCCTTTCTATCTTTTTGTGAAAAAGCAATTTCTTTATTAGGGATGTGTGTGTGTGTGAAGTATGCACATGTATGTATACAGGTACCCCGGCCAATGTAGAAGCCAGAGGTGGGCCTTAGATATCCTGCTTTACCATTTCCCACCTCATTTTGTTGAGACAGGCTCTTTCACATATCTTAGAGGTAAGCAAACAGACAAGAAAATGCCAGCAGCCCTCCTGGACCACTATGACCCATAGATTATAGACAGGTATGTGGCCTTGCATGGCTTCTTACGTGGGTGCTGGGACTTTGAATTCAAGTCCCCATGCTTGTGCAAACAGCCTTACCCACTGTACCATCTCCCCAGTTCTTAACCCATATTTCAAAAGAAAAGTTTTTAGCTTTATTTATGTGTATGTTTTGCTTGTGCACAGCTGGCGCCCAAAGGAGATCGGAAGACAATTTTGGATCCTTTGAAACTAGAGCGAAAGTGTTTGTAAGACACCATGAAGTTGCTAAGAACTGAACTCAGGCCCTCTGAGAGAGCAACAGGTACTCTAAACCATGGAGCCACCACCCCAGTCCCCAACTCCTTTTTATTTTTTTCAAAACAGGGCTCCTCTATGTAGCCCTGGCTACCCTGGAACTTGTTCCAAAGACCAGGCTGGCCCTAGAACACAGGTACCCAGCTGCCTCTGCTTCCTGAGTGTTGGGACTAAAAGTGTTCACCACTGCCCCCAGCTTTTCCCAACTCATATTTTTAAGAAAAGAAGCTGTGATAAACTTATCACCATTCATAAACAAAGAATTATAAGCAATGAACTAAAACAAAACCTACCCTTTTCAGATTGAGAAAAAAAAAAAGTTTGTGTGCCTGCCTGTGTCTGTCTAGCTACATATCTAAAATAAGCAGCCCAGAAATGAAACTGGCTGCCTCTTCATATCAAGAACCTGGTGTGTCATTTTCTTCACACCCTTCCCAGGAACATCTCAGCATTCTCCTCTCAGGTACCCTTTATGTGGGTTCTTCTACAGTTAGCAATGACTCTTCCATATTCTTTCCAGTTTTATTTCTTTCTAATTATTCTATTGTTGGGTTCTATATCCAAAAACAATTCTTATGAGAAATTAAAAAATACAGATTATTTTTAACCTGACCTTTAACATTTTAAAAAATCTTTTTTATACTGCTAGGTATCCAAAGAGGACCTCATACATGCTAGGTAAGTACTTTACCATTGAGTTATATCTCGAGGTCTTGATTATTTGAGTTATAAATAAAAAGGTAATTTCATAAAAACAAAATAAAATAATGAACACATAAAACTGAATCCTAGTCATCAAAATATTAAACTATTTTACTTGAGAATTATTAAAATAGCTTTTATTGCTTAAATAAAAATATTATTTTGTTTAACAACAACAACAAAACCAAACTCACTTGGGCATGAATGCTCCGTTGGCTAAGGATGGTTCATCGTCATCCAGCCCATCAAAGAGATGTGATTTGGCTGTACCTGTTGTTTGCAAAGCCTTTGGCCTGACTCTCGTGGCAGGGCGAGGTGTAAGTTTATAATGAGTAGGTGTAGTAAGAGCCTTCTGAGCTGCTGGATTGGTTGGTTTCAGTCTCTGAAAAAGAAAAAACAAGCAAACTTGGTGGCTTACATCTTTAACCCTAGCAGTTGGTAGACTAAGGTAGGAAGACTATTCCCTACTCAAGGCCAGCCTGGTTCCACAGAAGTCCAGACCTGTCCTGTCTATATAACAAGGCATTGTTTCACTGTCTCAAAAAACCAAAAGCAAAAACACAAGCACCGAGGAATGTTCCAGTTTATTTCAAATGTATGGCACTAATCTTAATCAGAAAAGCAAGCCCGGCCTAGTGACTCACATCCTACCCTTCCCATCACCCTTTTATTTTGAGACAGAGCTTCTTTATACAGCTTTGTCTGCCTGTAACCTGCTATGCAGACCAGGAAGGCCTTTAACTCAGAAAAACATCTGTCTCTGTCTCTCACATCTGCAGATTAAAGGTATACACCATTACATACTTTTAATGTCATCTTCTTGGAAGTATTAGTTCGCGCCTTACACCAAGGACATGTGTACATAAAATGGAGCCTCTGCAGCTGCCTAGATTCTGATTATTAAGACTAGGGTCAGACATTTGAAACATTTATTTTCCTACAGAGTTGGTATTTGTATTTATTTACCCATCTTTCCAGTTCCCACTTAAATTGACTTGTCAAACATCTTTTAAAAAAAAATTTCAGCCAGGCAGTCGTATTGCTTGTCTTTAATCCCAGGACTTGGGAGACAGAGGCAGACAAATCTCTCTGAGTTCCAGTACAGCCAATGGCTATACAGAGAAAACAAAAAACACACCGAAACATTTATTTTATGAGGATGTGTGTTCCTGTGCAAGTGTATGTCATGCGGGTAAAAAGGAGGCCAGAAAAGGGCACTGCATTCAGGTCCCCTGCAAGAGCAGTAACTACAACTGAGCCTCCTCCAGCCTCTGCTCTAACAGCCTTGAAAACAGATTTGAAAAGTTCTTTACAAGTAAAGATATACAAGTGTGTGTGCATATACACTTTTAATATGTTCTGTACATTTTTGCCTATAAAACCTCACTAGACGCAACAGTTTAAATTTATTATAAAACACACATGACTACTTATACTTATTTAAAAAATACAGCAACAAAAAACCCCTAAAATCTCTAGGAATTATTTTTCACATTAACTAAAATTTCATTCTTCAAGAAAAACTGTTGAGCATGGTCAGACAAGACTTTAACTACATGACTTCAAAGGTGGAGGGTAAGAAATTTAATGTTTACATTGAAAGACTGTCATGTCCAGTGTGTGTCCAGTGTGGTGGTGCATACTTTAATCTGAGCACCGAAGTGGCAAAGGCAAGCATAGCCCTGAGTTTGAAGCCAACAAAACCAAGAGTAAGACTGTCACAAAACGAAACATGAAGGTTGTCGTAATTTACTTTCTAGCACAGACTGTCCTAATGAACATTTTCAAGAAGGTTTTTGTGACCTGGTTGGTACAATGACTCAGCAGGTAAAGGAACTCAAGATTGATGATTGTAGTTTTGACTCCAGAAACCCACATAATGGGAGGGAAAAAAAAAAAAAAAAAAAAAAAAAAAGCAACCCCCAAAAGTCATCCTCAATTTTACACAGGTAAAATTGCAAATACAGACACACACAAACATATATGTCCACACATGTGAGCACATATAAAAGATGTTTTTCATGGCTTTTTATAACCTACTGTCCTTGCTCAGAATGTCTGAATGTATTAATTTCTATTATTCTTCTTCAAGAGAAAAACACTATCTTTTCTGAAATGTCTCATCAAATTCACAGAAGTGTACTATGCTTACCGTGTTTTAAAACTTTTACTTATCTTTTTGCGAGAGGGTCTCACTATATAGCTCTGGCTAGCCTAAAACTTACTATCTAGAGCAGACTAGTCTTGAACTCACAGCAATCTGCCTGTTTCTGCTTCCTGAGTGCTGGGATTGGCGTGTACCACCACACAAGACATATTTAAAAACTGTTATCAAAGCTCTCAGAAAAACTTGCCACTTAATGAATGTATAATTGTGCATGTTCATTTCTGTTGCTAAAATACCCTGACAAAAAGCAACTTAGGGTAGACAGGTTTGTTTTAGCTCACAATTCCAGATTACAGCGTATCTACCTAGAAAGGCACGACAGGAACCTGAGCAGTTATCACTTCATATCCACAATCAAGAGCAGAGAGGAATAAATCCACGCATGTCTAGTACTCTCATACAGTTTAGGGCTCAAGGCCAAGGAATGATGCTGTCCATTGTTTAGCTGCATTTTCCTAAACCAAGGAAATCAAGATACTCCTTGATTAGCAGGTAAGTCTACAGGCTAACCTGATTAAGCAATCTCGCAATGAGACTCTAAATGATGCTAGATTTTTGGCAAGTTGAGAAAATTAACCATTTTAACAATTTAGTAATTTTTACAAGGCTGTGTAACTCACTACTTAATTCTAGCACATTTCCATCACTTTAAAGACACTCTGTGCATACTAATTCCTCCCCATCCCTTGTCAACCACAAATCCACTTTCCCTATGAATTGTGACTTCTGGACATAGCAATATAAACAAAATCATGTAGCAACATGCTGGCTTCTTTTGCTTTGCATGCTTAAGGCTCACCCACGTACTCTGCTCCTTTTAATGGATGATGTCAATTATGTAACACTGTTTAATCACTCATCAAGAAGTTGGTTCCTCTATTATTACATTTACTATATTAAATTAACAGAGGTCTGATCTCCCTCCCTGGACAAGCTCATAAAGTTCTTTCTTTGGCTTTGTGTCCTTAGCACTAAACATGAGGCCTACCTTAGCATTGTTGGGCATCAGGCTGTATGGATGACATAGTAGTAACCTAATCACACAGCACTTTAGAAAGTGTCAAAGGAAACTTGGGAGCTAGCTCTATCAGTAAAGTACTTGCCCTGTGAGCATGAAGATCGGAGTCTGATCCCTAAAAGCCTTCACTCCAGCTCTAGACAAGTGGAGACAGCAGGACCCCTAACAACAGAACCAACTGCCTATTTACCGAACCAAACCATCTCTATTTCTCACAAGGGTGAAATGTCTAAATGTCTGGCACTATATATACTTTACTTGGAAATATCTATAACTGTTGTCCCTTTGGTAGATAGATAAAACTCATTTTTAACTCTGCCTTAAAAAAATAAAAATGAAAAAATTACCTCTTCTTTCTTCTTAGGATCTGACATAGGATTCCGGAAGAGAGGCGAGTCTCCAAAGGGTGAGTATGTTAGACTATTAAGGTGCTGCTGGAGAACAGCCTGCTGGGCAGCAGAAGCATTTGGATCTGTCAAAGCTATTCAAAAAAAGAAAAGGACAGGGTATGGGGAGTAAGTTCAAGGATCCAACACATTAGTATCAGAGAACTCAACACTCTTTAAGGGAATGAAATCTTTGAATGTTAAGATCCATTCAATGGTTAAGCAAAACAAGACCAAACTTAAAACAAAAATCCATGAATTAAGCAAAAGTAAGCAAAGATATGGAAGGCTATTTCATAACAGACATTACATATGAAGACTCACTATAACTAATAATCATGAGACAGTACATATAAAAATTATATTACATATAAAATTTACTATAACTAGTAATCAAATACATATAAATTAAAATAGCCTAGAAAAAAAGTTTTATAATTATCTGTCAATGGCAAATATTAAAAAACTTAATAGTTTTTTTATATTATAGTTAGTCATAGTCTCTAGAAACAAAAGTTGTTTTAGCTGGGTATGATGGTACATGCTTATAAAGCCCAGCATTCTAGAGGCTAGGACACAAGAATCAGGAGTTCAAGTCTAGTCTAGACCACAAACCAACTTCCAGATTGGCCAGCTAATTTTTCTCTCAAAGCAGAAGAATGAACATTGCCTATCAGCCACAGAAAATTCAGAGAGCAGACAAAAGCAACAATAAAGACTATATTTATAACGCGTAAAAATGTGGCTCATAAGCTGGGCATGGTGGCACACGCCTGTAATCCCAGCACTTGGGGAGGCAAAGGCAGGTAGATTGCTATGAATTCAAGGCCAGCCTGGTCTACAAAATGAGCCCAGGACAGCCAAGGCTACATGGAGAAACCCTGTCTTGACAAAACAAAACAACAAACAAACAAAAACATGTGGTGTTATAAAAAAAGAAAAATACAGCTGTGGTATTCTTCTGATGATAAAGAAATTGAATTATTCCAAAAATACTTATCAAATATTAAATCACCAATCATCTGAGAAAAATAAAGTTTTCCTCTTATAAAAATTTAGAAACATGCTAAAGCCAAAATATAATAATATATATTAAAAGAATTCCCTTTTCACATTATAAGTTCTTTTAATGGGGAAAATAAAAGCAGCAGCTGCCACCATCACCAGGAGAATAGGCAGTTATACTTAAAATGTATCAGATAGATCCACCTTAGTCCTACAAGTCTGTAGAGCTGGATGTATCCAGACAGGCTTGATGGCTCAAACCCATAATCATATCAGAGGAAGGCCATAAGGACTGCAGTGACTTAGAGTCCACTTGGGCTACAGAGAAAGACCCTGTCTGAAATATACAGCCACACAATGTATTACGTTAAGACTCTGTTGATATTCAGGGAGTAGTAAAAGTAGTGTCTGTCAAGAACTTGACACCCAGAGGAGATAATAAAGAGCATTTAATAATAAAGATAATAAAGAGATTTAAAGAGCCTACAGTAAATCACCTAAATTCAGACCAGTCACTAAAACACTTTAAGACTATAGACAAGAGTCAGCCATAGTGGCACATGTCTGTAATTCCAGCTACTTGGAAGGCTTTAAAACAGGAGGGATGAGTGCAAGGTTAGCCCAGGTAACATATTAAGATTCTGTCACGAATAAGTAATTATTAAAAAAAAAAAAGACTACACAAGCAAAAAATATACGCAAGTTATCAAAAATAACTTGCATAAAACAAAAGGTTATACAAGAAGACTAAGAAGTTCCAGAAATAACAAATCTTTTTCCTTTGGTTGATTTGAGGGTCTCAGACAAGCTAAGCAAACACTACCATGGTGGTATATCCCTTGCCAAGAAGTCTGTGTCTTTACTCATCATTTTGTTACTTGAAATCCTTCACCCCTTAAAAAAATCTAAAAGCTGACCTATAGGTCACACCTTTTATTCTTGAGCATAAGAATAAAAACAAAGATCTCCGAGATAGAGCAGTAAAGAGAACTAGTTGTTTTCTCAGAGGCCCTGGGGGGGCGCGGGGGGGGTGGGGGGGCGGGGAGGTTCATATGTTACGTATGTTCATATGTAACAATCATATGTTAACTGCAGTCCCAGGGTATTGATGCTCTTATGGGCACTGTGAGCAGGCGGTGCACAGAGATAGATGTAGCAAAGCATCTACATACATAATAATCGCTTAAAAATACTTAACAAACCCAAGCTTATTTAGAGGAATTTGTTTTTCAGGCTCCGTATACACACTTCAAACAAGATCCAGGAGCTGGGCGGCGCTCTATTACCACTTGGATCTCTGCAAGCTCAACGCCAGCCTGGTCTACAGGACAGCCAGGGGTACACAGAAAAACCCTGTCTTGAAAAATAAAAAACAGGGCTAGAGATGGCTCAGGGGTTAAGAACATGGCTGTCCTTCCAGAGGTCCTGAGTTCAGTTCCCAGAAACCACTTGGTGGCTCACAACTATCTGTAATGTGATCTGGTGTCCTCTTCTGGCATGTAGGTGTACATGGAGATAGAGCACTCATACATAAAATAAACAAATCTTTAAAAAAATAAAAATAAAACACAAACAACAGAGAAAGATTTAGGGTCTAGAAAGATGGTTTAGCAGTTAAAAGCAAGTGTTGGTTTTCCAGAGAACCAGAGTTCAATTCCTAACGCCCACAGTAGGCAGTTCACAAATATCTGCAACTTCCTGTAACTCCAGCTCCAGAGGACCTGATGCCTTTGGAGTACTTGAACATGCACATACACCTAGCATACACAGTGTGTGTGTAGTAGGGGTATGGCTCAAAGGTTAAGAGCATGTTACTTTTACAGAAGATCCAAGTTCAGTTCCCAGCATCCACATGGCGACTCAACAACTATCCCTAACTCCAGCTCTAGGAAAGCCAACACCTCTTCTGGCCTCTGCAGACACCGGGCACACATGTGGTGCACATGCTTCCATGCAGGCAAACACTCACACACACGAAAAAAATTTAAAGCCACAGATAACAGTGCTGACATGTGAGCAAAAACTAATGAGAACACTAGGGAAACTACTATTGCTATTATATATATTATATATATAGCAATATATATATTGCTATATTACTATTATATATATATAATATATGTAATATATTATATATATTATATTGCTATATATATATGTCACAACAATTTGAAAACATATCAAAGAATTATGACCAAATCATTAAAGGAATTAAAAAAAAAATCAAGTCTCTCTCTCTGTGTGTGTGTACCTATCTTCTGAGACTTTCTCTGTGTAACCCTGGCTATCCTGGCACTTGTTCTTAGGCCAGGCTGGCCTTGAACTCAAATCTATCTACCTGCCTGTGCCCCTGAGTGCTTGAAAAAACAGTTCTAGCATATCAATTCTGCTTGGCGTTAGGAGATTAAAAAAGCAACAGCTGGGTAGAATTTCAAAAGAATCAAGTCTGATACATCAAATGAGAACACCAAACTACAAGGACCTATAGGGATCCCATCACGACAAATCTGAGATTGAGACCTCCACCCAATGATGGCTGACTGTAAGACTAGCACCTTTTAATCAAGATTTTGTGACACAAGGTAGACATTCTAAAAGTTAATACAATTATTTACAAAAGGGCAATAATAGACAACCGAGCCAAGAGTCAAGTGTGGTCATGCATGCCTATGTTCCCAGCACGTGGCAGGCAGAGGCAGAGAGAATCAGGAGCTCAAGGCCAGCCTTTTTAATACAATATGAGCTACATCTGATCATCTGAAAAATAAGATATAGGGAATAGGGCGCCATATTTGATCAAGTAGGACCAACATAAAACAGAAGAATAAATGTGTAGTTACCTGCAGAGGCCACGAATGTAACTCAGCTGACACTGTGTCTATTTTGCATAATGTACTTGGTCTGACTGATCCTTACTCTGCAATATCAAAAGGATAGAGTGGCATGCAAGTACTGGGGTTTGGAGGCAGGAGGATCAGAAGATCAATGTCATTCTCAGCTACATAGGGAGTTCGAGGTCAATCTGAGATACATGAAATCCATCTTAAAAAAAAAAAAAAATTCCACTTCTCAAACTATCTGCTGACAGCTGGGCATGCGTGGCGAACACCTCTAATACCAGCACTTGGGAGAGAGAGGCAGAGGGATCTCTGTGAGTTTGAGGTCAGTCTGGTCTACAAAGTGAGTCCCGGACAGTAGGGATCTGTTACACAGAAAAACCCTGCCTCGAAAAACCAGGATAGACAGACAGACAGACAGATAGATAAAATAAGCAGGAGCAATTAAAAACAACAAGAAAACTACCCACCGTCATTCTCCTAACTTCACTGACACCCAACAGATAAGCTGTAAATCACAGATCATGAAAACTTAATAAGTCCATGGAAAGGACAAAAGCAACTATTGAAAAAAATGGCATCATTCATCAACTGAGAATTCATATTTCAACATTTAGGGAACTTTCTGGTTTTCAGACTACAACTTATAAGATGAAAGATGCTGGTAAATACAAACACAGAATTGCCAATAAGGTTTTATTTTTATTTTTTAATATGAATGGAAAAGATCACAAAGCAGAATCAAAATTTAAAAACCCTAATGAATTAAGGAACAAAAGGTATCTGAAAATTTTAGAATCAATTAGCAAACCCAGACTTTCAAGAAAAATCAATGTCTAAACTCATATGCCTGAAAAGAGAAACATTAGAGGAAATCTTTGGGGTTGTCGTGTTTGTTTTTTGAGATAAGGTAGCTGAAGTTGCCATGCAGCTGAAAAATACCTTGAATTCTTGATCCTTGTGCCTCAAGTGTCACTTACAGGTGGGTGCCACTACGTCTGACTTTTCAACTTGTTTTTAACCAAAGAACAGAAAACAACAGTAAGTCAGGCCATATCAACTATCAATATAAAGATATAAAAACAGGGAACTAGCTGACAGCTGATTCAGTAGTTAAGGGCACTTGTTGCTCCTGCAGTAAAAAACCCAGGTTCAAATCCCAGAGTCCACACGATGGTTCAAAACTGTCACGAGGACCAGGGGATCCGATTCCCTATGGTCTCCTCGGGCACCTGGCGTGCACTTGGTGTACTCTACATGCATGCAAGTAAAATACTCACACACAAAATATCTAAAATCTTTAACTATTTACATACATACAAGAAAAGAAAAAAGATAAGACTAGGGAAAGGCAATGATGGCCCACTGATAAAGGAACATCAATAAACACTATCACCTAGTTGACAAAATTATAAAAATACACAGCTTAAATTTATAAGAATCTCAAAATGTATTATAATATTGTGACAAAACAGCTCATTAATTTAGTCATGTAAAAACTCATTTCTGGCTGGGCTTGGTGGTGCACACCTTTAATCCCAGCACTCAGGAGGCAGAAGCAAGTGGATTTCTAAGCTCTGAGGCCAGCCTCGTCTACAAAGTGAGTTCCAGGACAGCCAGGGCTACACAGCGAACCCCCGTTTTGAAAACAAAACAAAAGAACAAAAACAAAACCTCATTTCTGGCGCCAGAGAGACAGTTCTGCAGTTAAGAGCAGTGGCTCTCAATTGAGTCCTCACTGGCAGAGGACTCAGGTTTGGTTTTCAGCACCCACAGGGTAGCTCACAACTATCTCCTTCAATTCAAGAGAATCTGATGCCCTCTTCTGGATTCCACAAACACCAGGCACATAAAAAGTGCACAGATGCACATGCAGGCCAAACATTCATATAGATAAAATAAAATTATAAAATCTTCAAAACCAAACAAAAAGAAAAAAAATAAACCAACCAACCAACCAACCAACCAAACAAAACAAAACAAACAAAACCAACCCAACTCATTTTTTCCCAACTCACACTATTAATGCCAGGTAATTCTAAGTTTTCATTTCCAGCTTAAAAAGATAGCTTAAAAAGATATTTACATTTAAAACTAAGATAATTTCCTTTGGTTAGAAATAGGGTAGTAGATACTGTAAAAACCAGGCAAGTACATTCATATGAATGAAGTATATAAGATATCACAACAGATAAAAGTAAACCTTAGGAAATTTAGCAAGTATAGAATGTTAACACTGGAGGGATAAACAAAACGGGAGATAGGCAAGAGCTGAATTGTCAACGGTAACAAGTTAAATTTACTTATGTTAAAATGAAACACAACAATATAAGCACATTACTTAGTGAAACAAACTTCAACATGTGCTAGATAAATTAAAAAAATAATGAAAGTGATTTCTAAGGGAGATCAAGCCTAGGAACAAGGAGGATCAAGAAGCTGGAATCTAAGCCCTTCTTTATTACATGGCTGTTTAATGATGTTCATATGCATACTGCTTTAGTAGAGATGGGACAGTAGAAAATCAAGTCAGCAAGCTCAGTATCAGCAAGAAATAAACTGTAAAAGCCTTCTAAAGTGACTGACACTTACCTACTGGGGCCTGGGGGGCGCCAAAGCCCAAAATGGCTGTCGTAGTATTAAATCCAGGGGCCCCAAAGGCTCCTGTACCAAGAGGCCCTCCAATCTTAGGTTGGTTGTTTCCAAACAAAGATGCCTGTCCAGCACCAAGAGCTACGGAGACAAGAGGAAAGAACAAGTGCCACAGAAGATCCTTTGACTATTGTGCCAGAGGTCAGTTACTTAAAGATATAATACATTTGGAAGCTTCATCATGACCAGTCATTTCAAGAAAAGAGCTAATGTGATAAATGCTGACTTCACGCTAGGCACTAGGCTGGGTACAATAGATGCAAAAATCATCTTTCATTGTGTTAGCTTCCTCAACTACAACATGAGACAACAATGGATAGCTTAGATATTTATCCTAATTATTAAATGAATAAACATTCTCACAGTATTTACAAGATGCATGGTACCTATTAGACACACAAAGTATTAACTAATGCCTAAAATAAGAACTTTTATTCCATTTAAGATCAGAGTTACAAATGTGATAAAAAGGAGGGTGGAAGCTAGCTATGTCTGACAGTATAACCAAAGCATTAACTACTAAAGTAAACAAATTTTCAAAGAATTAAAAAAAAAATCCCTGTATATTTCAGTATTTAGAAATATACAGTTGACCCAATCATAATGTCAACTTAAAAATTATTTATTTTTGTGTATGTGTGTTTTGCCTGCCATGTAAATCTATATACCACATGTGTGTTTGCTCATGGAGGCCAGAAGAAGGCATCAAATTCCCTGGAACTGGTGTTATACACAGCTGAGATGTTGGGGGGAGAAAAAGTAAAACTTTTTAACTATATAACATCTACTGAAAACAGCTTTAACTACGTAAACTTACTTTTTTCAAAAGGGCAAAAGTCTCATGATGTAAGAACTAAACATACTCAAGTTAGTACTTGAACTAGACTAGTTGTAATAAGAGCTCCTTCTTCTACCTAAATCCTGAAAATACAGATATACAACACTATTATTAAAAACAAAAGCTGAGTGGCAGTGATGCACCCCTTTAATCCCAGCACTTGGGAGGCAGAGGCAGGCTAATCTCTGAGTTTGAGGCCAGCCTGGCCTACAGAGCTGGTTCTAGGACAGCCAGGGCTGTTACACAGAAAAACGGCTCAAAAAATATATATATAAATAAATAAAGAGAGAGAGAGAGAGAGAGAGTGTGTGTGTGTATGGGGGGGAATAGAGAGATGGTTCAGAGTGTCTCTTGCGGAGAACCCAGGCGTGATTCCAGCACCCACATGGTGGCTTGAAATAGTCTGTAACTACAGGGCAAGGGACTCTGAAGTGCTCTTGACCTTCAAAGGCCCCAGACATGTACATAGTACACACACATACAAGCAGGCAGAACATTCATACACGTAAAGCTATAAATAGATCTTAAAAAGTTTTAATCTAATCCAGGTGCAGTGGCACACGCCTGTAATCTCAGTACTCCAGGAGACAGGCAGGTGGATCTCTGTGAGTTCAAGGACAGCCAAGGATACACAGAGAAACTGTCTGGAAAAATAAAAAACTTAATTTAGTGGAGAAATTAGTTTTTACTTAATTATTATGTACTGTCTGTGTGTCTTAGGAATCAAATTGTTAAAAGACTAGTATCCTAAACCTAAGCATATAAAAAAACCAAACCAAAATAAAAAACAAGACAAATCAACTCATATTTAAAGTTACTATCTGTATAGCCAAACTACTCACTAAGTATCTAAAGGCCAGTGCATTAGGAAAATATACTTCTGTTGAGGAATGAGTTTGAATCTCTATATCTCAAAAAGAAAAAAAAGAAAAAAGAAACTGCAAATGACACCTATTTAGCTCAATAGTATCAAGCTCAGCTAGGCATACTGGTACGTGCCTGTGAACTCAGCACTCTAGGAGGCAGAGGCAGGTGGCTCTCTGAATTTGAGGCCAGCCTGATGCACAAAATGAATCCAGGACAGCCAAGGCTACTCAGAAAAACCTATCTTAAAAAAAAAAATAAATAAAATAAAAAAAAAATCAAGCTTTAACTGCTAGTTCAAGTATAACACGATGAACTGCAGAGTTCAAATTTCAGAACATGTTCTTTTTAAAGCTTAAAGTCCGTTTTAGCAAATCTAATAGTCTTGGAACCTCTGTAATATTTACTTGCTAACTCTCACAATCCTAATTTCCACATATGATCTATTGCTACTAAGGTTAGTGGTCTAAAGTCTTCTACTGATTTTGTCTTTTAATTTATTTATATGGGGAAAGTATGAATAAGGAAATGTAATCTGCAGCCTATGAAAAATAATTAAGGCAAACATTAAACGTTATGCTATTAAATTATGGAATTAAGAGATAGTATCAGGAAGAATGATACTGAACATTTTAAAAGCTTGTACTAAAGGCAGAGACACTGTTAGTCACCTTTAAGATCCAGAATCCAAGGAGAAATGAAATCACATAAAATAAAACTCAAACATGGAAGAAAAAACATTAACTTGTCTGTAAGCAAAATTAAATGACAAACAAAACCACCTGACTGGAAATACAGACAGTACTAAGCTTCTGTGACTTTATAATGATCATTTAGCAGAAACTATGCTTTGATTTTTGAGTTACACGCTTTTCTCAGTGAACGATATCAAGCTTGATACTCTTGTGGGATGCTCAACAGCAGGTACATGAATATTCTAAACATGCTTAAAGTAAGCGAGGACAAGCTATGAGGTTTAGTAGGCTAACTGTATTAAACACATTTTCAACTGATAATGCAATTATCAAGATGTTAACACATTACAAATCAACGGGCATCTGTCAAGTCTTATGTTTAGAATTAAAGCCCCTTGGTAGTAGCACAGCAAACTTAAGACAAGCTTGTGCTACAAGAAATAGTTTGTTTGTTTCTTTGTTTTAAATGGCTGGGAATGTATCTCAGTTGGTAGAAGGCTTGTCTAGTGTGCATTGAACCCTGGGTTCAATCCATTAGCACCACATAAACAGTGTGTGGCAGCACAGGCTTTTGATCCTAACACTTGGAAGAGGAAAGCAGGAGGATCAAAAGTTCATGGTCATGCTTCATCTTTGGCTACACAAGTTTGAGGCTAGTCTATAATACATAAGAGTATCTCAAAACTATCTATATAAACATATAGATGTTTTGTGTTTTCTATCTATATAAACATATAAATAATCTCCTTCAAAAAGCCCCCTTTTATTTGCTGATAACAAAGCTATCATTATGCTGGGTGTGGTGGCACAAGCCTGTAATCCCAGCACTCAGGGGGGCAGAGGCAGGCAGATCTCTGTGAGTTTGGGGCCAGCCTGGTCTACAAAGCAAGTCCAGGACAGCTAAGGCTACACAGAGAAACCCAGTCTCAAAAAACCAGAAACAAAGCTATTATTAACTACAGGATTAGAAGAAAATATTGATGTATACTGTTTATGCTTTAGAATCATGTTTTCTTTTCTTTCTCTTTCTCTCTTTCACACACACACAGACACTACCAAAAAATAACCATTTCAAAACCTGTGGTATAATTTTGGCATGTTAAAAAGTTCAAAGGTTACAGGGCATGATGATGTTTGCCTTAATCCTAGCATTCCAGAGGAAGAAAAGACAGACAGATCTGTGAGTCTAAGGCCTGAGTCTACTACCTGGTGTTCCAGAACAGCCAGGACCACAGAGAGACCTTGTTATGTATAGTGGCACATATCTTTAGTACCAGCAAAAGATCAATCCAGAGCTAAGGAACGGACTTTGAATCAAGTATCTGAAAACAGCCAAATGAACACAAGGCAGAGGCAGAGCAGAGATTTAAAAAGCCTTTGTAAGGCCCAGAGTAGTACAACATGACTTCAATCCTAGCAACAGAGGAAGGTAGATGGCTGATTTTGACCTACTTAGAGAGCTGCAAGACAGCCAGGGCTGCATAGTGATAAGACGTCTCCAATATTAAATTAAAGTATTAGAGGCTGGAGAGAGGGCTCAGTGGTTAAGAGCACTGTCTGCTCTTCCAAAGGACCAGGGTTCAATTCTCAGAACCCACATGGCAGCTCACAACTGTCTGCAACCTCAATTCCAAGGGATCTGACATCTTCACACTAATGCACATAAAATAAAATTAAATAAATTGTTTAAAAAAATTAAAATACTAAGCTAAAGGCCAGCCTGGGGTGAAAGCTCAATTGGTACATGCCCAGCATGTAAAAAACTTTGAATGAATTCAAACTCCAGCACCTATAATCCACACTGCCCAAATTATCTAAGGCAAGTCCAGAAGTTTAAGACCAGACTGGAAAAAAATAGTAAAGGAGGGCACAAATAAAATTCTACCATTAAAAGCTATAATATATACATAATAATAAACACATTTGCTAAAAATAAGCCATGTTCAAATATATGGGACAGAAAGATTCAAATAACCAATAGGCTCACATAAAGATTTCCACTTTTACCACAAGTCACTGGAATATACCAGTTTCCACTATCACATATGCAAAAATGGAAAAGTGTAGTAAGGTATCTAGAGAAATGTTTCAGCTGTTAGCAATACTGGCTCCAAGGTCCAAGGCTCGGATCCCAGCACCCAAAGAGCAACTAACAGTCACCTGTACCTCCAGTTCCAGTGACCCGGCGTTAAATGGCCCCTGCTGACCACCACGAGCATGTGCATACACACATACATGCAGGCAAGACACCACTCACAGAAAGACAAGTATGTTTTGAAAAGAAAAGGTCCAATAAGCTCACGTGATAGCACATGCCTACAGTAGTCTCAGCTACATGGCTAGAAGAATCCCTCAAGTGTAGGAGTTTGTAACCTTGTTTTAAAAAAAATACAGAAAGGGGCATACATAAGATACAGATAAAAGGGAAGTGAGATTCCAACTCATAAAGAAAAAGCCAAACAACACAGAAAAGGTATGAGAAAATTAACACATCAAACAATGTAAAAACCAATGTAAAATGACACTGTTTTTGCAAGATAAATCAACAAGACCAACAAATAATAATATACATCTTTTTGTTTTGTATCTTTTTTTTTTTTGGAGACAGGGTTTCTCTGTGTAGCCCTGGCTGTCCTGGACTAGCTTTGTAGACCGGGCTGGCCTAGAATAAACAGAGATACACCTGCCCCTGACTCCCGAGTGCTGGGATTACGGGTGTATACCATCAGGCACAGCTATAACGTACATCTTCTAAATAGCAATTTTAATTTGACTTATTAATTATACAGTAACACAAATACAAAATTATGTAACAAAAATTTTCACTGAGGGTGTTTGCTATTAATACCAGAAAACTCAACAATTGATGGTACTAAAAAGTTAGATGAATTATGGCAAGTACAAATTATACCTGTGTGTATATATACACACATACACACAAATATTAAGCCATTATTTCGAAATGAAATCCACACACACGGACCAAAACAAGCTAATGTTTAAAAAAAAAAAAAAAAAAAAAAGAATTATAATGAAATGCAAAACATAGCCCACATTTAACTAAGATGAAACTTTAAGAAACGGTTTTCTTACTATGCAAATTTTTAGTTCATTCCCTTGAATCCCCGTTGCAGACCAAGACAACAATGCTCAGCAATGCCACCTTAGCCTGTTGTCTAAGCTAGCTCACGGGTACTCTTCCCTTGAAGAGCCTCATATTCTTAGAAGTGTTTTCTCATTTTTCCTTAATAAATCTGTATTTGTTCTGCTATAAAGACAAAATTCAAACCAAAAGTCACTAACATAAATATGAACCACATCTGCCTACCATGTATGGGACCCTGGCTTCAATCCTCAGCAGTGCAAAACATCTCAAGTAAGGTTCAACTAAAAATGCAACTAAAATCCCTAAACATAAAATGGCCATGTACAGATGTGTATGTGTAACCATGTTTGGAAAAAAAAAAAAAATTGCAGAAGGGGATTATGGACAAGCTACAGCTAAAAATCTAAATAGCTGATTACTTCACAGCTGAACTACTTGAACTTTTCATGGTAATTTCTGAACTGTTAAAATATTTTGACAATACTTATTTCAAAAAAAAAAAAAAAAAAAAAAAAGGTTAGCTGGGTATGGTGATACACTTTGAATTCCAGCACTTGGAAGGCAGAGAGAGGTGACTCTTTGTGAGTTTGAGGCCAGACCGGTCTACAGAGTGACAGCAAGGTCAACCAAAACTACATAATGAGACTGTCTCCAAACACAGGGAGGAAAATGGTTAACAGTTCAAAGGAGCATAGAAAAAGTGTCTATTAAGATGGTGTAGGAAAAAACATACCACAAAAGCAAAGAAAACAGAAAACCAGGCAGTGGAAGCAGAGATTTTGAAGTAAGTAGTTTTGCAACTAAATTACTATACAAGTGATCAGAGGACTAGGCAGAAGAAGCAAATATGTATACTTAAAACCTATTTTACTAGGCATGGAGAAAAACCCACCTTTAGGGACAACCCCCTTCCAAATGCTGAAAACAGGTACACAGGAAGAAAGGTCAATATTTTAAATGTACTGAAAAAGCTGGGCATCGTGGCACATCCCTATAATCCCAGCACTCTGGAAGGCTCAGGCAGATCTCTGTGAGCTTGAGGCCAGCCTGGTCTACAAAGACAGTCCAGGACAGCCAAGGCTACAAAGAGAAACTCTGTCTCGAAAAACAAAAACAATAACAAAAATGTACTAAAAAATAACTACGAACAGGAGGAAGAGGGATAAAAAGTATGCACAAGCTTTTGTAAAATTGAAGAGCATGTTATTTACCATAAAATATACTCTCTATGCTCTGTCTTACCATGAGGCTTAACTCATATAAACTTAAGACAGAGGGATTTAACAGTTATTATCACTACACTAACAATTCACACATTTTAAACTAAAACTCCCATATAGAACAGGACTAAAGGAGAACAAACTTTATGTGGAAAAGGTACTTTTTCTATAACTCAAAATCTACATTTTGTGAACTTAATATAAACATACATTTTATGACCTGGTAAAACGTAATTGCTAGAAATACTTCAGTAAATCTGTTTGAAAAAATGAAATCTATGCCTCATATTTATAGACATATGAGCTAATAAAATTCATAAACTCAAGTTGTATTATTACTTCCTAAAATTCATGCAAACACTTTCTTACCTGTCCCAAATCCTGTACCAAGTCCAGTTCCCAGAGTCCCGGGTGCTGGTTTACTTCCAAAAATACTAGTCCCACTATTATTTGTGCCAAAACCTAAGGAGAAAAAAAAAGAATGAGTGGATTGTAGTTTTAAAACAACTCTTAATTTTCTCTAAAAGGGAGTTTTAACACAAACTAATCTTAAGCTTTGTATCTTTAAGTTATTAATATTAACAAATCCCAAATTATCAACTAATAAAACATGTTAGAAATTTCTGACACCTGAGCCAGGCAGTGGTGGCACACACCTTTAATCCCATCACTCAGGAGGCAGAAGCAGGTGGAGCTTTGTGTTTGAGACCAGCCTGATCTACAGAACAAGTCCAAGAGAGTTAATAAGGCCACAGAGAAATTCTGTCTTGAAAAGCAAACAAAACAAAAAAAATCCTGTATAGCAATTTTTGTTTCAAACTGAAAGATCTGACATAGACAGTAATGCGAGGTGCTTCCACAAGGTCACACTATATAAATTCATAGGAACACTCTAAGGCTCGGCCAGCTTTTTTCTTCTTCTTCACCTTTTGAAGAAGGTTTCACAGAACTCAAGCCTCTAAGTAGCTAGGCACTAACAGCGGCTTTTAACCACCGTCAACCCTCTTCTCTCCAAGTGCTGGGATCACAAGTATACATCACCACTACTGTCACTACTGTAAACACACACATCTATAACCTATCAACAGCCTATCTTGAATTGAACAATTTCTTCTTGTGATGATGAAAGGTTGAGCAAACCGCTCTTCCTTAACTAAGGCCTGCCAATTAGAGAAACTCTTAGAACTAACTCCCTGTTAAAATTCACAGGTATCAAACAGTATCAATATTGTGTTACTGTTTTATCTTTGTTAGTGAGAGCACATTTTAGTATTCCTTTTGATGAAATAGCAACAAAACAAATAATTAATGAACCATTAATTTATAGTGCTAAGAAATGATCAATCATAAGCCAAGAAATTCTTGTTCTAAAGACATTTAGTCATTTAAAAATTATCATGGAAGCTCAGTGTGATGGCTCATGCTTGTAATTTAAGGTCTTGGAAGACTGAAGCCATTGCATAGCAAGACTGTCTCAAAAAGAGAGAATAAAATAGAGGAGAATAAGAGGAGAAATGAAACCTCAGCAGTAAAGTGAGTACTTTGAAGTAGTTAACAGTATCACTAACAGGTTTGTTCTTTGTTATGTCAATATCTGGTTGTTAAACAATGAAAATAATCTTAAAACCAAAGGGGAGAAAGTCTGAAACCACGCATATTTCTGTCACTCTAAAATCTAAGCATATAATCTAATTCAATCTCAACAAGTAATCCATGTGTTGATTAAAGTTTTTCTTCAATAGTGTTAGCTAACACACACACACACACACACACACACACACACACGCAGAGTATTGCTCACTCAAGCACAATCAACCTAAAATTTAAAAAGAAAATTTACTTAAAGATACTTTCTCTTTTAATTAAAATTTAAAAGAACAGGATCACAGTCCTATAACAGAAAACAAGCTACTCAAGGACTATCTTAAATCCACAGGAGAAATCTAAGTACCAACTTTACACTGTTTATACCACACATTTCTTCCAATTCTCCCTGACTCTGTTACTTCAAAACAATACTACTAATTAAATATAATTCAAATTCGGCATATAGCTAGTGAGGCATGGCAGATAAAGATGATTTCATACTGAAATCAGTGAGCATGAGTATAAATACAACCTTGTAATAAAAAACCCACCACAGAGGCAGGTATGGTGGCACACAACCTTTAATTCTAGAACTTTGAAAGGAAAGGCAGGTGGTTCTCCTAAGTTTGAGGCTAGCCTAGTCTACATAAGTTCCAGGCCAAACAGGGCTGCATAATAAGATCCTGTCTCAAAAACAAACAAACCTCCAAGAAAACCGACTATCTGTATAGCCTGTACAAAAAACTGTCATTAAAAAATAAACCTTCTGAGCTGGTGAGATGGCTCAGTGGTTAAGAGCACTGTCTGCTCTTCCAGAGGTCCTGAGTTCAATCTCCAGCAAGCACAGGGTGGCTAATAATCATCTATAAAGGGATCTGATGCCCTCTTCAGGTATGTAGGTATACATGCAGATAGAGCACTCCTACATTTGACAAATACATAAAAAAGGTAAAAATTTTTAAAGGAGGTATAAAAATCAAATATGAGTCTAAAAATAGACATGTAACAAGTCTTACATGTCTTTTCCAAATAACTCCTATTTTGTGAATACACTAACCTGATAATGCTTAAACAGTCTTTTTTCTAGTAGGTTACAAGACCACCTAAAACCCACTAAACATGCTGGGAATTTGAATCAATGGTAGAAGCCTTGCTAGAACACAAGCTCCTGTGTTCTATCCCAACTTGGCCATCAAAGGAAACAAACAAAAGGACCAAGAGCTCTCTAAGGAGAGTTCTAACTGCCAGGCCAGTAACACTGGCAGTAACATTACTTTGTACACATCTTCCCAGAAAAATCAAACATTTCCTAATGAAGATTCTGGCAACAAAATGTTCATCAAACATTTGGACTACTAATTCCCTTGTCAATAAATTTTGTACATCTTACACAATGTTGAATGTCTAAAAACATAATCATGGATTATGATGCTTCTTTTAAACTAGTTAAAATATTTCTAACACATCTAAAAAGAATAAAGTTCCTTTTTAAACAATTTCCTCAATCTTATCTCTATTTTCTTGATTTTTAAATAAGAAACAGACATTCAAAACTTTTAAGAATACTTGTGTTATTGCTCTTTTTAGGACAGTCTCATCTGTAGCCCGGATGGCCTAGACTAGAAACCATGGCTCCTGCTTCAACAGTTATAGATTATAGGCATTAGCTTCTACACACAAAACTGCCAGAATAATCCTCTAATTCAGCAAAGCTTTGACTTTCAGAAAGGAATCTCCTTGTTTACTACAGCCTCATGTATGAATAGAATGGGATACTTCAGACAAATGAGGTTCACATATGTTAATAAGGTAATCCAAAGAAAATGAAAGCCTATACTAAATATATTAAATATCTCCTATCGTGTACATGAATTTAAAAAATCCTTCCTTCTGGTACCTAGGATCAGGCTACAGCTTACCTGAGAATTTTAAAACATTTCCAATCATATGAATCAGGAGAATGATGTGTGGTATAGTCAGTGTAACTTTAAGAGAGTCAAACCTGCATTTTATATGTACCAAAATTGGAAGTGTTTGTATTGGTTCCTAAAGTCAGGGTTGGTTTGTTACCGAAGAGCCCGCCACTGGTTGTACCAAATGAAGGAGCACTGGTTGTGCTGGTTCCAAAAGTTGTAAGCTTGTTATTGCCAAACAGGGTCTAAAAGGAAAGTAATACAAGAAAATTAAAATAATAAAAGAAATACAACCGGGGCTGGGGAGATGGCTCAGCGGTTGCCGAGCAACGATTGATCTTCCACAGGCCCCAGGTTCAACACCGAGCAACCTCATGGCAGCTCCCAACTGTCTGCATCTCCCTGATCTGACAACACCCTCACACAGACATACAACCGAAAGCAAGAAAGCTTGATTCCCAGCATACATCTAATAAAGGGTGGCTCCCAACGACCTGCACTCTGGCACCAGGGACCTGACAGCTCTCAGACACCTGTACTCATGCATCCACACATAAAACAACAGAAATTAAAATAGTAACAGGGCTGGAGAGATGGCCAAGCGGTCAACAGTACTAACTGCTCTAGAGCGCAGTTCCAGCACCTGTGGCAGGTGTCAAACCTGCCTGTAACTCTAGTTCCAGGGGATCCAACGCCTCCGGCCTCTGAAGTACGCTGATATGCACATACCGACACCAGACACACAACACAGAGAATTAAAAATAATGAGAGTGCATCCAAATAAGCTACACTCCATGGACCAAATGTATAATGAAAATTTTAACTTTTATGAGAAGTTAATACAGATGAACATAGACAATCAAAAGATGTATGAATCCAAACAATATTATAAGCACAATGCCACTAACACAGAAAATTAACACCTCAGCAAACAGGGATTTCAGTGACTCAAAGACAATACTAAGGCAATCGAATGTTTTCATTAACCAAGTGTGCTAATTGGCCTGATTCCGCATTTGGAAAACAGTGAGGAGGAAGACCATGCCTCTTTATTAGAGACCAGAGAGAGGAAAAAATAAAGAGGGAAAGAGAAGGAGAAGGAAAGCGAAGAGGCTTTGTGTATGCTAAGCAAGCATTTGAATGCTACAGTACATCCTCAGGCCTTGTTTTCTAAATTTTTGAGCAGGGCATTATGTAGTCCGGGCAGGCCTTGAACTCTGTGTGCCCAGGTTGAGCTCAAACATCCAATGCAGTCTTGGCTGTGTCTGAGCAGCCCCTCGCGGTACTGGGATCAGAACTGGGCCTTGCTCACACCAGCCACCATTTCCTGCCCCGGCTTGCATTAAAACTTCTGTAATCTTTTTCACAAGTGGTGCTATGATATAAGATTTAGCACTGGTTTTTTTAGGTTTATGCATTCCAAAACAGTACTTCTACAGTTAAACAACTTACTCAACAAGGTAAATAACTGTTGTACCTCCAACAGAAAAACAATAATAGTTACAGCAACTTGATCAACTCCAAGAGCGTTTACTTTCCAAATACCATACCAGTTTATCTCCCAAAACACAAAAATGAAATAATAAACAAACAAAAATTTAAAAAACACACACACACAAAAAGGAAAACTGGGAGTTAAAATTATCTAACTTGGGCTGGACATGGTGGTACAGGCCTTCAATCTCAGCACTTTGCAAGTAGAGAGGGGTAGGTGGCTCTCTATGAGAAGCCACTCTGGTCTACATAGCAAGGCTGGTGCTTGCCAGGGCTTCAGAGTGAAATCCTATTTAAAAAAAGAAGAAAAAAAAAAAAAAAAAAAAAAAGCTGAAGAGATGGCTCAGCAGATAAGAGCACTGGCTGCTCCTCCAGAGGTCGAGTCCAATTCCCAGCAACCACATGGTGGCCCAAAACCACAATACTGGAATCTGATGCCCTCTTCTGGCGTGCAGGAGTACATGCAGAGAGAGCACTCACATTAAATAAATAAAATCTTAAAAAAAATAAATCTGATGTAAGCAATCTAAATTAAGACTACATACTTTAAACACACCAAATAGATTTTAAGATGTAAATAAACTTTGAAACTTTTTAGAGGGGGCCTGCAGTGGCAGAATGCATTAAGAATAAAACAAATACACAAAAAGATTTTATGCTGTACATAATAAAAATGAGCAGTGGTGGTGCAGGCCTTTAATCCCAGCACTGGCAGGCAGAAGCAGGTGGATCTCAGTGAGTTTGAAAACAGCCTGGTCTACAAAGCGAGTCCATGACAGCCAAGGCTATCTCGAAAAACAGAGAAACCTTGTCTTGAAACTCGCCCCCCCCCAAAAAAAGAGCAGTGTTACTTCTCAATATAAAAATTAAAACTATTTTCTTTCTTTTTAAAATTTTTTATTTAAATGTGTATGTTTTGCCTACATGTATGTTTGTGTACCATGTGTATGCCCAGTGCCTCCAGAAGCCAGAAGATGGTGTTGGATCCCCTAAAACTGGAGTCAGACAGTTGTGAGCTGCCATGTGGGTGCTAGAAATCATGCCCAGGTATTTTGGAAGAGCAGCCAGTGCTCTTACCTGCTGAACCATCTTCCCAGCCCTTAACAGTATGTTCAAAAAACCCCCAGGACTGAGGTAAGCCAATGCAGTAACTAAAAGCAAACAATGGGGCTGGGGACGCAACCCAGTATAGTATAGTGTTTTCCTAGAATGCATGAGACCCAGGGCTTAGCCCCAACACTTCACGAAACTGGGCACAGCAGAAAATGCTGCAGGCCCGGGAAAGCGGGGACACGATAATTAGGGATTTGGGGCACACTAATTAGTAGCACATGCCTGAATCCAGCACTAGGTAAAGACTCAGGAGGAGCGAAGTTCCAGCCAGCCTCAGCTACCTGAGCCCCTGAGAGGAAGACCAAGAGAGGATCTGGCAAGATGGCTTAGTGGGTAAGGGTACTTGCCATCAGGTGACCTGAGAACCATACAGCAGAAGGGACTGGACTCCCACAAGTGGTTTCTGACTGCTTTGTGCAGTGTGGTAAAGGCATACATACACAAAATATAAATGCAAATATACTAAAAGATTATATATATGTAAAATTAAAGAGGAAAAAATTAACATATAGATATTAAATTCTTGGGAGACAATTTCTGTTTTACATATTCCTTTAACAGATTTTAAAACTTCAAGTTACAGTCAATTGTGAATACCTACCGAACCAACTGCACCAAATCCAGTACTGGGCTGCCCAAAGAGACCTGTTCCTGTTCCAAATGCCGTCCCAGTGCTGGTGTTTGTAGATGTTCCAAAAAGACCTCCTGGCTGTGAGGCTTGGGTTACTCCAAACAGGCCCTGGAAAGGGTAATCTAGATTAAATAAAAACCAGTTCATAACAGTATTTGTTGTTGTTGTTGTTGTATTTTTTAACTCTAGATTGATAAAAAATAGTCACCACTGTTTGTTTTATTTTTGGTTCTTTCAGAGACAGTGTTTCTTTGTGTAGCTTTAACTGTCCTGGACCCGACTGCTGACCAGGCTGGCCTCAAACTCACAGAGATCCACCTGCCTCTGCCTCCCTGAGTGCTGGGATTACAGGCGTGCACCACTGCGCCTGGCGTCACCACAAAATTATCCAATTTTGTTTATAAACAAAATTCTTGAACATTTCTTTGCAACAATCCTAAAAAAGCAAGAATAAGGCAGTTTTTCCAAAACAGCCATTTCCAGCACAACGAGCTTCAGGTCCTGGGCACGTATTAATGCCTTCTATGAATTCATGTGCTCCAAGGTGTCGGAGTACATAGGGAGTTCCAAGAGTTACAAGATTCTGCCATCAAAACAATCAAAAGAAACCACCTCACCTTCTTCTCATCACTTTATAAACTAAGCATAGCTCACACCTAGAATCCCATCAAATATGAAGCTGAAGCAGGGAGATGATGAGCTGCAGGTCAACTGACCACACAGGATCATTAACAGCAGCAAACAAAACACAATCAGGAGTTTTATAATTCCAGGTATTTGATTATTAATGACATAAAGGATTTAACCTCATTCCTTTGCAGATGATAATCCGCTGTGGCAGTCACACCATCAAATTAGTTGTCTGTAAATGTGAGGGTTCATTTCTTTATTCTCATTTTTACTCATATGCTTCACTGAATTGTTGAGGTTTATCTCATGCAGCCCAAACTGGCCTTGAATGAGGTATAGATAACACAATCAATGCTATCCTTAGGCTCTTGATCCTCCTCCTCTCAAATACCAAGATTATAGTATGCTCAGGTCTATATTTTGATTCTTATAATGCCAATAACCACTGTCTTTACCTGCATTATTTTCTCTACAATCTCATCCACATACAGATATATCTGGACCATAAATACATGCAATGGACCAGTTTCCATAACTCCCTCCAACATTCTCGTATTTCATATTCTCATATTTTCCTCCTACTCCCTCTGGATCAACGCCAATGTCCCCAGGCATATAGCCTCAAAATAGCAACCTATAGCTCACTAAGCAAGCTCTTAATGATAAGCTATGCTCAAAAAGGAAAAATGACTTATCGAACAAAATCTCAATGTACTCACTGAGCTGAGACAAAAAATCCAGGTCTTCATTACTGAAAGATTTGTCTTCTTTCCCATACTTATTAACCTGAGTTCTAAAGAACTGCTATGGAGACAGCACTAACAAGCTTTAAACATGACTACTAGTCCCATTACTTAGCTTCACAAATAAGATATGGAGTTAACCAAGGGCCCGTTTCCTTACCATTGTATTGGTGCTCGGCTGTCCAAGGGTGCTGGTATTACCAAAGGAAAAGCCAGTACTTGGAGTGGTTGTAGCTTGGCCAAATGGTTTGCTGAAGAGACTGGTGGTCTGCTGATTCTGTTGGCCAAAGAGACCGCCTGGATTGGTTCCAAATCCAGTTGTACCTTTCAGAAAAAAGATTTAAAGACAGACTAAATAAATGACTCATCCTTTAAACAAAAACAAAACAAAACAAAAAAAAACTCATCCTTTGTGAAATCAACTTTTCTTCTATAAGGAAAAAATATTCAATCTATGTTTAAATTAATCTTGATAGAATGAGGCTTTTTCTTTATATCACTATATCCAGCTTAGTCTCTTATACATAGTACTTAAGAATAAATGTGTTCAACTGGGCGTAGTGGCGCATGCCTTTGAAGAGAGCTAGATTAATCACACTTCTTGGGAGGCAGAGGCAGGTGATCTCCGTGAGCTTGAGGCCAGTCTGGTCTGTAGTGTCCAGGACACCCAGAAATACAGAGTGAGACCAGGTCTCCAAAAAACAAACAAACAAAAGGAATTAAATGTGTTCTATGTTAAGTCAGAAAATACCAAGTTTTTCAACATTCAATGTTAAATGCAAATTAGATAAATACTATATTTGTGTATGTATTTCTCTAGAAAGCTATGGAAACTTTGTTACTTTTGTTTGCCTTTACAAAGATAAACTGGTGACTAAGGGAAAAACCTGGGAAAGAAGAGATCTTTGGTTTTTAGTTTTTGACAGGGTGGCCTCACACTTGACTATGTAGAAAAGATAATCTTAATTCTTGATTTTCACCTCCCAAGTCTTGTACACATAAACTACCCAGGGCAGCTACAATGTAAGCTTTGTATCAGAACTTGCAAAAGCAGAATTTTTACCAAATAACTTAGTCTTCACCCTAAATGCTTTCACATCCCATCCTGAATCAACTCAGTTACGTAATTAATCAGGGACACAACTCTGATTTAATGATTGATAATATACCGCTGGGAACTGAAAACAGGGCCTTATATATGACTGAGCTACACTCTCAGCCCCAGCCCTTTTAAAATCATCCTTGTCATACTGAAGTTACAATAGCTTTTTGTTTTGTGAGACAGGGTTGTTCTGTGTGTCTTACGCTGTCCTGGAACTCACTCTGTAGACCAGTCTGGCCTCAAAATCAATGACCCACCAGCTTCAGTCTCCAAGTGCTAGGATAAAAAGCGTACACCACAATCAGCAACAACTTTTCTACTACTCTGAACAAAGTAGTAATCTTCAGAATGATTCTCTACTCATAATCAAATGAGTTCCTTCAAAATAAATCTCAAGTGTTTCCCAAGCAAATAAAAAGTCACCTCTTGCTGGGTGATGCGCACATACACATACCTGCAAGCTTAACACTTGAGAAGCAGAGGACTGCCACAAATCTAAAGCTACCTTAACCTATGTAACATGTTCCAGACCAGCCAATTTCACATTGCAAGAGTGGCTCAAAAGTCAAGTTAAGATCCATCCACAAAGTCTCATTAAACACAGCCTAGAGTCCCCTCGAGTTTCTAACACTCTAATCTCTTCAGCAAAAATCTGAATTTTGCTGATCCTTCTGGCTCACACGTAATCCCAGCATCTGGAAGGCTGAAGGACTGCTTTGAGTTTGAGGACAACTTGAGTGAGAGTAAGACGCTGCTTCAAAAAAAAAAAAAGCCTCTAAAACCTTAGGGTTTTAAGACTCATCGTTTTAAGTTAGCTGATTTTCCCTAAAAATACAAACAGCCAGTTCTTCTACCTTCTTTGGGTAGGTTATTACTCAAACATCACCTTCTGAAATGGACTCTGTAGACACCTTCACTTACAACTGCCCCTCCCTACAAATAAATACCTCAATTTTTATCCACAGCTCTTGCAATAAAGTGACAGTCATGAGTTAATTCTATTTGACCATTCATTTTGTTGTTGTTGGTTGTGGGTTTTGTTGTTGTTTTTGGTTTCTGAAGACAGGGTTTCTCTGTGTAGCCCTGGGTGTCCTGGAACTCACTCTGTAGTCCAGGATGGCCTCAAACTCAGAGATATATGCCTTCCTCTGCCTCCCGAGTGCTGAAATTAAAGGCATGAGCCACCAAAGCCCAGTTTGACCATTCTTCTTTATGTTACAATAAAGTGCTTACTAGTTCCAAAGGCAGTTTTGTTCTGACCATATGAAAAGGCTGAATTAGTGGTAGAGGAGCTGAAGAGTCCTGTTGCACTGGACGTGGCTGGAGAAGACCCAAATAAGCCAGCCGTGGTACCTGCTCCCACTTGGTTCTGTGGGCCTTTCCGGTTAGCCTGATAATCCTCCAAACGAAGTTCCTGAAGGTTAAGTACGTTACCAAAATTAGCATATGGCAAAAAAATTACTTAGAAGAAATCTATGCAACAATCTCTTACAGAGCAACATAACTGATAAGTACAATGTTGAAGTACAAAGCATAAAGTAAGTGTCCCTCTATGGAAAATTCAGAGATTGGCAAAAACTGAGCAGCCAAGACGGGTTAATTTTGTAAGGAAGGGACTGTCATGAGGGGAGGGAACAAGAAGGGCATTTGGAATGTTGGATACGCTTTGTTTCTTTTTGTTTTCTCCATGTCACTTGATATGAATCCTTTCACTTAAGTGAAAAATGTATTAATCTAGATTTTAGAATTTTGTATAAATTTACTAAAAACTCATTTGTACCCAAATGTATTGTCACTGCCATGTTACTATCTAGCCAGAATAGAATAAGAGACAAGATGTACACAGTACACCTGTATGTGTGTGGAGATTATTATCCCAGCCTAAAATAAAGGTGTTCATAACAATACATAATCTTGAAAAAGCACTCTGACTAACGTCAGGCTTTTTGTTCAGACCCAATGTGAAGCACTTGATCTTACAAAGACTCACAAACATGTATGTTTTTATGTATAATCAAAACAGTCAGCTGATTTTTGGTGCTTCGTTTTACTGACCTCCAGTGACTTGCTTTCATACTCTTTCATAGCAGTAATACACTGATGCTTGGTACTGATGTTAGTGCTAACTCCAGCTTTGACCATAGTATCCGTCCCAGTGGGCGGCTGCAAAGAGAGACAAAGACACCATCTAAGCCCAAGCTTCCATGTTTACTTTCACAGACACACTTCTTCAATCACTGAACTTTAAAAAACTATTCCCTATTTCATTGTTTTGTAACAAGATTGGGCCAAGGGCTCAATATAGCTCAGTGGTGAGCGCCTGCCTAATGTGTAAAAGCTCGGGTTAAACTCCCATGCGCCTCACTACTTAAACACCGTTTAGGAGGGCATGGTGGCCCGTACCTAGAATCCCAGCACTCCAGACGGGGCCCTGAATACCAGGCCAACTTGAGTAGGCTACACAATAAACCATCTCTCAAACAAACTAAAAGATGAAGGTAGGCACAGTGGCACAAGCCTTTAGTCCTAACATTTTACAAGTTGAAATAAGATCACTTGAGAACTGAAATTCAGACCAGCCTGGGCAACATGTAAGACTCTCATGGCAAAACCAAATTGTTTTCAAGAATGCTTGATTAAAATACATGGCAACATTTCTGATTTCTCCCATGTATCACGAATCTTCATTTTTGTCTGTTTGTTTTTTTGAGATAAGGTTTCTCTGTGTAGCCTTGGCTGTCCTGGACTCACTTTGTAGACTGGCCAGGCTGGCCTCGAACTCACAGAGATCCACCTGCATCTGTCTCCCTGAGTTCTGGGATTACAGGTGTGCGGCACCTTGCTCAGCTTAACCTTCATTTTTAAAGATTAATTTTTATTATTTTTAAACGTGTGTAGCCATGTGTGCCTGCACGCAGATACGTACATGAGTGCACAAAGGCCAGAGGCCTTAATCTCTTGGAGTTAGAGAAGACAATTACATTTAGGTGCTGGGAACCCAATTCAGCACCAGATGGTGGTCCACAACCATCTGTTACTGCAATTCCAAGAGATTATGAAACCTTCTTTTGGCCTCACTGGGTACTGGAATGAACATGGTGAACATTCACACATGCAACAAATATTCACTCACATAAAATAAAAAACTTAAATTCTTATTTTTTAAAAAAATCAAAAATATAATATGCATTAATGGAAATAAGAACAATCTGACAAAACATACTATAAAGAAATACACAAATGGGGAAAAAAAAAAACCCTCTGTAATACATACATTAAATTTAATGGTAGTTCCTGTAGGTGCTGCTGTGAAACTACTTGGCCCAAAGAGAGAGCCAGATGTGCTACCAAAAGGATTAGAGGTGGTATTTGTAGTTCCAAAGAGTCCTCCACTGCTAGTACTGGTTCCAAAATCTGTAAATTAGAAAAGTGAGAACAGCAAACAGCTTAATGTTTAACACAGCTTGGAAACACAGCAGGATAATAGCAGCAGTGCTTTCACAGTGTCAAATCTTTGTAAGAGTCTCCTGAGTTGGGGCTGAAGCGATGACTCAGCTAGGTTAAGAGCACTGACCGTTCTTCCAGAGGACCCAGGTTCAATTCCCAGCACCCACACGGTGGCTTGCAACTGTCTGTAACTTCAAGATCTGACACCCTCACACAGACATACATGCAGGCACATAAAATAAAAACTGAATAATTAAAAAAAAAAAAAAAAGATTCTCCTAAGTAAATACATTTAAACTATATTTTACACGGACATGTTTCCAGGCGACAGCTTTCAAAGGTAACAAATCCAAATCCACGGGTTAGCTTAAATGTGCAGGTAGTTCTTAGATATTATAGACAAGACTAAAAAGAAACAGTACTTTAAAAGAATGAATGTTGAATGAAACCAGCTTTGTGAAAGACATTATCATAACAGACATCATTAGAGCATAGTTTGTTTTTATTTAGATATAATATACATGCACAAATTATCAAAATATTGGTCATGTAAGTGGTCCTATTCAAGCAACCAAACATAGATAGGTTAACATAAAATATGATCACTTGGGAGCTAGGGAGATGGCTCAGAGGTTAGGAGGAGCGGCTATTCTTCCAAAGGTCCTGGGTTCAATTTCCAAGAACAACATGGTGGCTCATAACCATCTATAATGAGATCTAGTGCCCTCTTCTGGTGTGCAGGCAGGATACTGTACAGATAATAAATCTTTTAAAAAAATGTGATCACTGCTGAAAAAATTTAAAATCAGAGGCCATTATATTGAAAGTAACTGAGAAGCAGGATCATAATTCAAATGCTTAGGAAGCTAAATGGGAAGGATTGCTTTCAGTTTAACACTAGCACTAACCACATAGTGAGCTCCAGACTCGCTGAGGCTACATAGTGAGACAGTCTCAAAAATCCAAAAAGAAAGTAATATAGAAACAGCAGACCCTAGCCAGGTGGATCTGTGAGAGTTCCCAGCCTGATCTATGTAGTAAGTTCCAATAGGCAGTGTTACATAATAAGAACCTGTCTCAAAGAACAAACAAAAAAAGTTTTTGATAGTTATGGTAGTTCGTGCCTATAACCCAGTTCTCAAAATGTAGAGATAGAGACCAGAAGTTCAAGGTCATTCAGAAGAGACCAACTCAGTCTGGGGAAAAAAAAATTATAAAAAGCCAAGCTCTAACACACTCGTTTATAATCTTAGCAGTCCATAACCAAACATGGGGAGGCAGGTCTAGGCGGAATTACCTACCAAAGGCAGCCTTGGCTAAGAAGGAGACCCTGTCTCAAACCAAGCAAGTAAATAAAACCTAACACAGAAGAAATGAATGACTGTTGGATGTAGTGGCACACATTAACCCAGGCACTCAGGAGGCAGAGGGAGGCAGACCCTGAGCCTGGCCTACAGAGGGAGCTCCAGGACAGCCAGGGACACGCAGAGAACCCCTGTCTCAGGGAGAAGAAGGCAGGCAGGCAGGAGGCTAGCTGTGAGCTGCCATGTAAATGCTGGCAACTGAACCTGGGTCCTCTGGAGAACATCCAGGCCTTTTCCCTGGCCCCAACTACCTTTTGTAAAATATGAGAAGTCATACATACAGTGCCAGAAATGTCAGTGAACAAGAAAAATTTGCCTGCCAATACTTAAAGTGATATCCTAATAACTATTATGAGCATTTTGATTTTGCACTGGCACATTTCTAACTAACTCTAACCCTAATATATAGTTTAAAGTTAGTAGGAATGTCTCTTCTGAATTAGCACCTTAAGAATGCACTTTTAGTGCTCACTTCGGCAACACAGATACTAAAAATGGAACGATAGAGAGATTATTAGCATGGCCCATGTGCAAGGATAACACCCAAATTCATGAAGTGTGGGAGAGAGGGATAGGGGAAGAAGAGTGCAAACGGGAGGAGACGAGGGAGGGGGCCACAACTGGAATATGGGGTGAATAAATTGTAGAAAAAAAAATAATAATAATAATAGAAAAGATCTGCATTTTAGCCTGGTCTACAGAATGAATTTCAAGATAGCCAGGGCTAGACAGAAAAAAAAAGCCATCTCAAAATAGATAGATAGATAGATAGATAGATAGATAGATAGATAGAATGATAGATAGAAATTTTGCATTTCATACAGCATGTTTAAATATTTCAACATCTGACCAGATATGGGGGCACAAGCCTGTAAAACCAACACTTGGGAGGGAGAGTCAGGTGAGGTCGCCCAGGGCTACATGAAGCTTTGCCTCACTCACAGACACACTGACAGTAACAATGTTGGTTAGTTAGCCACTCATATATTACTGTGCTCTTGTCCCATAAACAGCTTCAGCTCATAGGGCACACTTAGTGGCTGCCTTAAAGCTACTACAGAATAGTACTTCTACTTCAGACATACATGCAAGCAAAACAACAATGTACATAAAATAAAAATAAATCATGTTTTAAAAAAAGAAAGGTGGTTTTTAATTTCTTTCTTTCAAGCCCCCATCTCATTCTAAGAGATATATTTACTGCCCTCTTTTCCTGGTTTTGACTACTTCGTGGGAGACGAGATAGGTGAACATAGAGCAAAGAAGAGAACACATTCAATAAACAAATCAAACATTAAAACTATCAGAAGTACAAGTCCACAGAATGATGCCCTACTCACTCCCAAAGCCAGTTGGTTTGTTTTGTGCAAACGCATTGTTCTGGGATGAGAAAAGACTGCTCCCTGTACTTGCAGTTCCAAACAAGCTATTGGATGTTCCTGTTGATGTGCCGAATCCAAAGCCAGTGCTTGTGGAGGTTGCCGGCTGGCTAAATGAATTGGTACCAAACAATCCTCCTGAAGAGATGCAGGGGGAGAAAACAGTTTTATATAGACAGATTACAGTCACTAAGTGAAGTTCTATGGCAACTACATAAAAACCAGCTTTTCTTCCAGACAAAACCCTTTACCTGGTTTGGTCTGTGAATTTCCAAATAAGCCTCCAGTATTGTTGCTAGAACCAAATGCAGATGTTCCAAAAGCTCCTCCACTGGTAGTACCAAAGCCAGTATCTGAAAAAGCAAAATTCAGGGTCAATAATCAGAAAGTTTTTAACATTTCTTAAACACTCTGCATTAAGTATGACCACTAATGCAATTTGAAATCTTTCTCAAATTTCATCAAAATTCTCATCGGATAAAAATCAAGCCAAGGTATTTTACTCATTGTCTCCACAGGAATATGTCCTCTAAATCAAAAGGGGTAACTTCCCATTACCAGAGGGTACATCCCACTGGTGGAATACCTACCACACATAGACCCTGGGTTTGGTCTCTAGGGCTATAAAAAAGTGGAGGAGAGGGACCCCAAGCCTGGGGAATGGTGCTGCCCATAGTGGGCGGATCCTCCCCCACCAATTATAATGTTTACAATAATCCTCCCCAGACATCCTTACATCTAAAACTAAGCTTACTGATGTAAGCATAAGTTTACTGTGTAATTCAAATGCTGATTTCTGCAACCCTCGAATCTGGTTGCAATCCTTGTTCTGAGAATCTCCTGTCTCAACATTATGTAAACATTGCTCCCCAACTGTCCCCTGATATCAATAAAGCAGCCAATCATTGAGCATGGGAGAGAATAGGGCTGTACTTCCTTCCCTCCAAGAGAAGAAAAGATAGAGGGAGGAAGTCGGGGATTCAGCCATGAGCAGAGGTCCAGGAGACGTCAGAAGATTCAGTTGTAGCAGGAAAAGCCATAAAAGAACAAGTACCTCTGGGATTTACGCTGTGAGGAAGCAAGATTAGCTTAGAGGGTTAAGAATGAAGTTAAAACTGCTCAGTTGTTGTGGTGTGAAGCTTATTAAACAAGTAATATAAGGGTCTCAATTATTTAGGCAATAGCTGGGGTAAGTAAGAGAGAAACAAGAGGAACAAACACAATTTTATTAAAAAAAAAAACACTAACAATTCTCAATTATGTCAAATTAACAGTTAAAACTAACCATCACAGTGGTTCATGCCTGTAATTCCAGTACCTGAGAAACTGAGACAGGAGGATTGAGAATTGGAGGACAGCTTGAGCTACATAAAGAGTTCTGAGACGGGCTGGAGAGATGGCTCAGAGGTTAACCTGCTATTTTCCCAAAGGTGCTGAGTTCAATTCCCAGCAACCACATGATGGCTCATAACCATTAATACTGAGATCTGGTGCCCTCTTCTGGCCTCCAGGTGTATATGCAGGCAGAACACTATAAATACTTAATAAAGAAATCTTAAAAAAAAAAAAAAAAGAGTTCTGAGACATTTCAGGCTACAGTGATATTATATTCTCATCTAGAATGAGATCTGGTGACCTCTTTTCCCATGCAGGCATACATGCAGACAGAACACTGTATAGATAATAAATAAATAAATAAATAAATAAATAAATAAATAAATAAATAAATAAATAAATCTTGTTTAAAAAGACATTTTCTCCTCTTTTATTCTTTTTTAAAACTTACTTTGTCCAAATGTTGAAGTTGTGCCAAAGCCTCCTGTGCCACCCCCAAAGGGGGTTCCAAATGTTTTGTTAAACATCTTCAAAACGAGTGTTTGCTTCAGAAAGCTGTAAAAGAGAAGTTATTCTTTGAGACAATAAATTTGTTTCAAGGTATCTACCATTCTACAAATATTAGTTATGCCCATAGAAATAATAGCATGATACTCTTAATCAATATCCTAAAACCTCAATGATAAATTAAACACTATGAGATATTCATTAATCTGTACTCTTCCTAAAATGACTAGTACTGCACTGTGATAGTAACTTTCTGATCCTACCAAGGACACTTTCATGTGTGTGTTGAGTTGCTGGGCAATTTAATTTTAATTTTTATTATTTTCAGCGTGTGCAACCCTGCGAATGCCACAGCACATGAGAAAACAGAGGGCAGGAACAGGTCTTCTTCTATCACGTGGCGTCTGGGAGCTGAACTCATTCATCAGGCTTGGTGGAAAGATGACACATCTCACCAGCCCAGCTCACTTAAAACTTTCACCTAATTTTTGTTTTACTATCACAATGCAAATCAGTACAGACAGTACACATGAATCTGTGAGTTTGCTCCCCAGCACTGAACATGGTGGCACACACTCAAAATCTTAGCACTCTGGAGGTGGAAGCAATGGGGAATCATTCAAGGTCATCCTCAGCTACACAGAAGGTTCAGTCTATGCTACATAAGATCCTGTCCCAAAACAAAAACAAACCTTCAAATCTATGGGTAGTTTTTAACAAAAATACAGAAGAAAGTTATACAGCATATGATAGCATCAAAATTATAAGCATACCGTTATCCCAACTATCTGAAATATTTCCCTGGCCAGAGCTGGACGGACAGCTCAGCAGTTAAGAACATTTAAAGGCAGAGGCTGCACAGCTTCTGTAATCACCATTTACTTTTCAGTAGTGAGATCTACGTTAAGTTCCCTAACTTTAGCCAGATGTGGTGGCACACTGCCCATGACAGGCTACACAGAAAGACCTTGCTGGAACAACAACAACAACAAAAAGCCAAAAAGTAAATGGTAAATTTTATTTATACGTGTACTACCACATTTAAAATTTTTCATTTATTTAGGTTTTTGTTTGTTTGTTTGTTTTGAGACAGGGTTTCTAAGTAACCCTGGCTGTCCTAGAACTCACTCTGTAGACCAGGCTGGCTTCAGAAATCTGCCTGCCTCCCAAGTGCTGGAATTAGAGGCGTGTGCCGCCGCCGCCCAGCATACCCAGCGTACATCTTTAAAAATTCTATTTCATAACTAACACAGTTTGGACGCATGGACCATGAGTCACTCAAAACACAACCAGTTATATTGATTTTTTTCCAGGCACCTCCTTTTTTGGGATGCAGGGTTAGTTACAGTACTTAAAGTTATATAAAGTTTAGATTATAAATATCAATGTTAAATGTCAAGAGATGTTTCATTGCTACTTACCTTTATCATTACTTTTGACATGTGCTGTCTATAAACATACTTTAATCATATTCATCCCTCTCGTTCCCATTTCTTAACCTTATCCCTTCTATATCCCTATTAGTCCCCTTTTACTTTCATATGTCTGTCTGTCTCTTTTTTTTTTGTTTTTCAAGACAGGGTTTCACTATGTAGCCCTGGCTGCCCTGGATCTCAAGAGATCCACCTGCCTCTGCCTCCCAGATGCTGGAATTAAGGGGGAGTCCAACCATGCCCAGTATTTTCTAATTCATCTCCACACACAGCAATCCTTTTTTTTTTTTTTTTTTATCATCTATTACAACTTATTCAATTTGTATCCCGGCTGTGGCCCCCTCCCTCGTCTCCTCCTTCACACTCAGCAAGCTTGTTCATGTAAATCCGAAAGCTAAGCAAGGCGCATGCCACTCTTTAAAAGGTGGTTAATAACAATTTTTCCTCTGTGAAACATACCCTTCAAAGCATTTAATTGTACTTTGGGCTTTTGCTACAAGAGAGTCTGCACACTTTAAATCCCCCCCCCCCCCCGTGTGTGTGTGTGTGTGTGTGTGTGTGTAAGTAATAAGAGGCCTGGCTATCCAAGAATCTTTTGTAGACCAGGCTGGCCTTGAACCACTGACATCATCTGCCTCTGCCTCCCCAGTGCTAGGATTAAAGTGTCACCAGGCCTGGCAAGATGATCAGGAAAGAGTTCAAGAAGCTTAATTAACAACCCTAGGTACTCAGTAAACTTGAGGCCAGCCTAGGCAGAGGTGCCATCACAAAAAAAACCTAAACTAGTGAAAAATCATTCATTTCCTTACTCTGCTGTGTAATACCACTGATTCAGTGAAAACTGCCCACCCTTTACCCTTGCTGCTGCCAAACAACCCAATTCACTTTACAAACCCCAGTTTCAGTATGTACCTTTTACAAGCCTATGCTAACTATCTAGTGATGGCGTCCTCCATAGCACAGTATAAAGTCTTAGTACATACGGTCATCTTGACCCTTACTTCCCACGCTAGACACCGGGAAACACTAAACCAGGAAGACTTTCATTAGCCTGGAATGAAAGCCTTGGACCAGCTGCTGTACTAGCAGACAGCCTTCAGCTGTCAGTCCTTCTCAGAACTGCTTCCACTCAAGACTGCCTTATCCAAGGTCGTCCTTCCTTCCTGTGACGGTGTAATTTCATGGCCAGTGCTAGAATTCTTGGGACTCAGTATAACTCCAAAGGGCAGGTAATTTCAGCTTTTAAAATTTTTGTGGGCTAGGTTAACACCTTCACCAAGGTTGGCTGATACAACATCACAGTGCTACAAATATAGTTTAGTGGTAGAGTGCTTGTTCAGGGTCCTAAATTCAATTCTCTTCTACTACTGAAAAAATAAAAAAAAAATAAATAAAAATTCAGTACATAAAAATAAAGACAGCATCACACTGGTGAGAAGGTGTTAATGGTTGCCTACTGTCTGTAAGGCCCTACGGTCTCTCCCATTTCCACGTATACTCAAACATCATTTCCCACTTCTTTCTCACTTCTCTTACAGGTGATGATATCAAGAAAATTTCCTAAACAACATCTAATGACTATGCCCAGTTCAAAGTCTGCTGCCAAAGGCACTCAACTTTATCCCAATGAACCTGCCAACGGACAATTATCTATTATGGTTGATGTGCAGGGTACAGACATCTAAGGCCGCCCTCAAACTTTCCATGTAGCTCAGACTGACTTTGAACTGCTAATCTCCCTGCCTCTATGTCCCAGTGAAACTGTTTGGGTTTGGGGTGGGGTAGGATTCCAGGTGCCCCCACCCCAAACCCAAACAGTTTCTCTGGGTAACAGCCTTGGCTGTTCTGGACTTTGTAGACCAGGCTGGTGTGCCAACCACACCCGGCTGAATTCCAGGTATTTGACACTATTTTTGAGACAAGATCACATTTAGCCCAGGGATTAAAGGCCAGAGCTACCACTAGCTGGCAATTTTAAACTTTTTTTTTAAGAAGGAAGATAAATAGAAGCTGCTCTATAAAGTAAAGAGCAGGAGGTGTAGAACTCCCACTAGTCCAACCCTCCAAAGCAGCTTAGGGGTTTTAGGGAGGTTGTCTTCCCCCCCCCCCCTCCCAAGACAGGGTTTCTCCGTGTACCCGTCTGTCCTGAAACTCTCTGTAGACCAGGCTGGCCTTGACCTCACAGAGATTCACTTGCCTCTGCCTCCCAGGTGCTGGGATTAAAGGTATGAGCCACCACCGCCTGGCTAGCTCAGGGTTTTTAATTGGTGTGAAAATCACTATGCTAGATTAGAGGCCTTCAAATTGGGACCCAAGCATCTAGAAGTTCAAGATTTATTTTTTGGCTGATCCATGGACCCCAAATTTCTTTAATAAAACTACAATGGCTGGACCTGGTGGTACTACCTATAATATAATCTCAACTTCTAGAGAGGGTGCAGAAGAGGACTCCAAGTTAAAGGCTTTTCTAGGGTACAGTGAGTTCAAGGCCAGGCTAAGAGACTTACACCCTAACTCAAGTAGTAGAAAGAGAGCTAGGTTGGGGCAGTGGCAGCAGCCCACATCTTTAATCCCAGCATGTGGGAGGCAGAGGCAGGTGGATCTCTGAGTTCCAGGACAGTCAGAGCTACACAGAGAAACCCTGTCTTGAAAAACTAAAAATATGAATAAATAGAGAGCCAGGTATACACCAGTGACAGAGCATTTGCTGAACATATACTGTGGCCCTAGGCTCAATCCCCAGTCAACAACAAAAAACTAGAACCAAGGCAATGGTCCCAAACTTTATGAACTCTCATTGCATTCTTCACTACCACCCAGTACACTTAAGACTGTCCTTAGTGAGCAGCAAGAAGTATTTAGAATATTATTTCTCAAAATCTTTTTACTACTCTGTGTAATTGTTTTTCCAAATTCAATTAGAAGTACTTAAAAGAACTTAGGCACAGTGAGACATGAGTTGATTCAAGGAAAAACACTTCTGTTATTACTTTGGATAGCTATTTTCTTTGTCATGGAATACCAGTATCAACAAATGAACAATGAACCATGGCTAACAACCAGAACCACAGATAGAAACTCTACTTTAAAAGAAAACAAAGCAAAAATTAGACTTTTAGAAACTTGTCTAGAAGCTTATCAGCTACCACCCTCCTTTTAAAATTTGTATTTATTTTTATGTGCATGGCTGTTTTGCCTACATACATGTCTGTGTGCATGTGTGCTTGGTGCACAAGCCCAAGAAAGAGTGTGTGATCCCCAGGACTGTAGTTACAGGGGGTTGTTTAGCCACCACGTAAGAGCTCAAATGCAAACCCTAGTCCTCCAGAAGAGCAGTCAGTGAGCTTAACCACAGAGATCTCTCTCTCGCACCCCCTCCTTTTCACAAAATACTTGTTTATTCAATGTGCATGGCCACCCTGTCACTTCTGCGGCCTGGGGCAGGTGGAAGCCGGCAGGGTCACTGCCTTCCCTGAGACTGCAGTCACAGACGGTGCGCAGCTCCTAAGCACAAGCCACATCTCCAACACCCTCCTTTTTCCCAAAGGCAGCTTTCATTAGTCCCAGGCGGAGTCTCAAACTGGATTATTTTGCCAGGGATGACCTTAAACTTCTGTG